GATGCTTCCACATAAATATGATCAATCAAGGCTTTGCTGTTCCTGAGAAGAAGACTTTTAAAATTTTTCCTATACATTTCTATGTAAAACTTTGATCCTCCATTGTGGCCCCGCCCTACCCCCGGGGGTCATGATTTGAATAAATTTGAATCTACACTACCTGTGGATGTTTCCATATAAATATGAACAATCTGGGCTTTGCTGTTCCTGAGAAGAAGATTTTTCCTATATATTTCTATGTACAACTTTGATAGTCCATTGCGGCCCTGCCCTACCCCCGGTGGTCATGATTTGAACAAACTTGAATCTACACTACCTGAGGATGCTTCCATATAAATATGACTCATCATGGCTTTGCTGTTCTTGAGAAGAAGATTTTTAAAGATTTTTCCTATATATATATTTCTATATAAAACTTTGATACTCCATTGTGGCCACACCCTACCCCCGGGGGTCATGATTTGAACAAACTTGAATCTACACTACCTGAGGATGCTTCCATATAAATATGACTCATCATGACTTTGTTGTTCTTGAGAAGATGATTTTTAAAGATTTTTCCTATATATTTCTATGTAAAACTTTGATCCTCCATTGTGGCCACGCTCTACCCCCGGGGGTCATAGTTTGTACAAACTTGAATCTACACTACCTGAGGATGCTTCCATATAAATATGACTCATCATGGCTTTGCTGTTCTTGAGAAGAAGATTTTTAAAGATTTTTCCAATACATTTCTATGTAAAACTTTGATCCTCCATTGTGGCCACGCCCTACCCCCGGGGGTCATGGTTTCAACAAACTTGAATCTACACTACCTGAGGATGCTTCCATATAAATATGACTCATCATGACTTTGCTGTTCTTGAGAAAAAGATTTTTAAAGATTTTTCCTATATATTTCTATGTAAAACTTTGATCCTCCATTATGGCCATGCCCTACCCCCGGGGGTCATGGTTTCAACAAACTTGAATCTACACTACCTGAGGATGCTTCCATATAAATATGACTCATCATGGCTTTGCTGTTCTTGAGAAGAAGATTTTTAAAGATTTTTCCTATATATTTCTATGTAAAAATTTGATCCTCCATTGTGGCCACGCCCTACCCCTGGGGGTCATGGTTTCAACAAACTTGAATCTACACTACCTGAGGATGCTTCCATATAAATATGACTCATCATGGCTTTGCTGTTCTTGAGAAGAAGATTTTTAAAGATTTTTCCTATATATTTCTATGTAAAACTTTGATCCTCCATTGTGGCCACGCCCTACCCCCGGGGGTCATGGTTTCAACAAACTTGAATCTACACTACCTGAGGATGCTTCCATATAAATATGACTCATCATGGCTTTGCTGTTCTTGAGAAGAAGATTTTTAAAGATTTTTCCTATATATTTCTATGTAAAACTTTGATCCTCCATTGTGGCCCCGCCCTACCCCCGGGGGTCATGGTTTCAACAAACTTGAATCTACACTACCTGAGGATGCTTCCATATAAATATGACTCATCATGGCTTTGCTGTTCTTGAGAAGAAGATTTTTAAAGATTTTTCCTATATATTTCTATGTAAAACTTTGATCCTCCATTGTGGCCATGCCCTACCCCCAGGGGTCATGATTTGAAGAAACTTGAATCTACACTACCTGAGGATGCTTCCACATGAGTTTCATCTTTCCTGGCCCTATGGTTCTGGAGAAGAAGATTTTTAAATGTTGCCATTATTTTTTCACTAATTCCTAATTATCTCCCCTTGATAGAGGGTGTGGCCCTTCATTTGAACAAACTTGAATCTCCTTTACCCAAGGATACTTTGTGGCAAGTTTGGTTGAAATTGGCCCAGTGGTTCTTGAGAAGAAGTCGAAAATGTGAAAAGTTTACAGACAGACAGACAGACAGACGGACAGACAGACAGACGGACAGTCTAACGGACGCCGGACAAAATGTGATCAGAAAAGCTCACTTGAGCTTTCAGCTCAGGTGAGCTAAAAACTTATTCAATCTGGAAATTTTTGAAACTACGAATTTCGGAGGCGTTTGATTAACACATCCTTGCACTTTTACAATTTTTAACTTTATCCTTAATACTTAAGAAAAGTAGCAATTTTGTTGTGTATTAATGAATAATATTACATCTATAATCCAGAAAATTCAGAGTAAAAATGTGCGAAAGCAAAACCCACTCACTAAGTATTGTCAGCCCGTGCTCAGTGTTGTGTAGTGGTGTACAGAGTTTAACAAATTGAATACACCCGTGAAACGTAAACTGTTTTTGTAAACAGGGCACGAGCTCTGTTGTTGTTAACGTTTAGGTTTCACCGGGTGTGTTCAATTGTTAAACTCTGCACACACCACTGAGCACGGACTGACAATATACTGGTGATAGGATTTTGCTCTCTACATTTCTACTCTGAAATTTCTGCATTATAGTTTAATATTTTTCATTAATAAACAACAAAATTGCTACTTTTCTAAAGTAACAAGTAACAAGTTAAAATTTGTGAAAGTGCAAGGATGTGTCTATCAAACGCGTCCAGAAATTCTAAGTTTCAAAATAAGATTTTTATCAAATTTTCGTATGAAATGCTATAGCAACATATAAGTCATTAAATTATACAGAATATTTGAGTAAATATTAACTTCAAATCTGTGTCTAAGCACATTTAAAACACATCTGGATTGATTAAGTTGAAAAAAAGGAACAAATTTCAATAATAAAACATTCATGAATTTAGTTTTAAATTTTTCAGATAGATGCTTATTAATCAAATAATACTTATTAGTATGATTAGAAGCCACTTCATCATTGGATTAGGATCTATTAAAAATGGTTTTGCACTCCTGACTGTGGAAATATGGATCTGAAACACAGACGGATCCTCTAAATAACAGATTTATTTCGTAAAAATATTCCTAGTGTCTTTTTTTCAGAGTAGAAAGCAGACATTTATTTACTTATAAAATTGCCAAAAAAGAAAGCAAGAATTTATAGAGTTATAAAAGTTTTTCCAAGTTGGGGAGCAAAGGTTCAAGTGTTGTACTCCTTACTCAGATACTTGACTTTCATTAATGCTGCTTGTGATTTACATAACATTTTAATCCTTTAAATGGTATATCAGTTATTGTTTTACACTTTGAAAATTCTTTCTTTTTATTTGTCTTATGACGTCAATAAAACATTTGGCAGACATTTAGCCAGTATTAAAAGATCATAGCCAGTATCATAGCCATAGAAATTTATTCAGATAACCTGAATTTTTAATGCAGCTTGATAATTGTGTCCGGTCAGTCATTTTCTTTTTAATTCACCCACATCTTTCTATCTAAATTAGATTTAAGTGATAAACTGCATGGAAAATCGACGTAGGAACAATAAAACTTGCCATAGATTACAAACTTGCACCAAAACGTCAACTTCCTTTTGGTCTACTCAACGATACCATAGACGTTAACATCTTAAATGTAACTATATATCAATGTTTAGGTAAGGATGTATTTTTTTTATTTCATCTCCACTGTTGTTGTGTAAAAGAAAAATCTTCAAAATGGTTTTGATAACCAGAAGATGACTTTAATTAATCCATAGTCACAACTGTAATCATATACCCATATCATCTACATACGGAATTATATTAATAAATATATATATCCTTACTTAAGTAGCAATATACCCTTATCACCTACATATAGGGTTTATGTTTCTCAGTTGATTCGATACGCAAGAGCATGCTCTGCGTACGAATAAATTCTAATACGAGGTAAGCTACTGACAAACAAGTTGATGAAACAAGAATGACAACAGTCTCGTATAAAGTCATCATTTTGCAAGTTCTGTGGTCGATAAAATGACCTTGTCAGCAAATACAATCTATCATTAAGTCAAATATGCAGACTGACGTATTTCATACCAATTGTTAGACCATTCTTTACATACTTAATTGTCTACGGATTTTTCCGTTTTTCTCGATCATGACAAGGAGCACTTTCCGGGTGTGACCGATCAGCAGGGGATGCTCACTCCTCCATGGCACCTGATCCCACCTCTGATGGTTTTAGAGGTCCTGATGTTTGCTCTGCTCCTAATCTGAATTGTCTGAATGGACTTTTAAGCTTGAATACTGTTCGTTATCTTTCATATTTCATTTAGTCGAATGCTGAACCCATCTCTGTTTTCAGAGGTACACAACTGAATTGTTTTAGTCTTATTCCTCCGTGGCACCTGATCCCACCTCTGATGGTTTTAGAGGTCCGGGTTTTTTCTGCTCCCAATTTGTATAACATGTATTTCATTGGACTTTTGAGCTTGATTATTGTTCGTCATCTCCATATTTCATGCTATTTTAAAGTAAATAATGCATTTTTCCAACATGAACTATCCGAGAGGACAGATTTGTTTGTTAAGGATCAAAAAACTTTTCTGTAAACAAATAACGACAACAATAACGGCAAATCTAAAACGAAAGAAAAACAAACTAGAAGTATGTCCATAGGACATGAATGCCCCAGCCCAGTGTTCATAAGTAATGCAAGATGAAAATTTGCATTGATGTCTTGAATAGTCTCTTTAGAACTGAGTTTTAGACTTAGTAAATAGTGATGTCAAAGATCATTGGGAAGGTCAAGGGAAAAAAAGAGAAAAGGACACAGTTGATTTATCATCAAATTATGTATCAGTGCATTGGCTTCAGCATTTAAAATTTGATAAAAAAAAATCTTGAATAGTTTCTTTGAAACTAAGCTAACACCAACTGTGACGGAAGAACGGATATGACAAACACTATATGTCCCGGCCATATTCCTGGCGAGGCATAAGAAGGGAAAGGCGAAAACACGTCATAGAAATTTACTAGTGTGATTGATATTATCATGAGGGAGTATAGGTTCAAATAATACCCCACTACTGTAGTTTCTTTTCTCCAGAACACAGAATCGCAATGTATGTCAATAGCTTGGTCGAATTTATACGACCCTTCAACATATAGAAAAGAAAAAAAAATATACACATAAATAAAATCATTTATTATTTTAGATCGTTTAACAATTAGCATTGGGCTTGTCAGGAATTTAGGGCGCTGTAGATCCGGCTCCCCAGTTCTGAAAAAAGGAAAATTATTTGATAGAAAATTTAAAGCAATATGAGCTGCAACTTTGATGTCGAAAACTTTTGTTGCAATATTTGCAATTAACTTTTTCAACGACAGTAAAAAAGAAACTTTATGAACTTTTATTTTTATATTAGCGATGAAAGAACTAATTTCAAGCTCTGACTGAAGCAAAATTACGCTATTGTTGTCCTGTACAATATTGATTTCTTATGTAATACTATACATTCCATTGTACAGAAATTTTTCTTCTGAAACAATTTAATACTTTATTTTAGTCTAATTGATCATAAAGATTTAAGTTACATACTGATTTATCATAAACCACATTTTAACAGCAAAATAAAATTCTCAAAAATGCAGCTCATATTGCTTTAAGAAAATAATCTATGATTTTCAGCAAATATACGGTAGATTAAGCTGGAAGCAATCTCACAGAGTACACTTCAGGCAGATCGAAGACAATAAAGACTGCGTTCGTTTTTTCCCTTGTATAATTGTATAACAGCTACCCGTTCAAGAATGAGATTTTCCAATTTCAGAGTATATTAATTTAGATATATTTTCATATGTTTACTGTAAAATATTTTCTTCAGGTTTTATGCCAGTTAGTTACATACAGAAAATTAAATCAATTGAAATTTCAAATGTTGACAAAAAAAAAATTGTTTAAAAAAATATTTAGTAGATTCAAAGAAGTTCGGAAGAACTTAATGTATCGTGATTGCTAACCCTGATACTCTCCCTTGCAAAGATGTTTTTAACCCTTACTATTCTAAATCAATCTTTATTTCAACATATTTTCAATGTACTATTTTTTTCAGAGAGACTTTCGGAATAAAACATTACTTGACCAAAAACCTATGCCCACCCTCCACCCCAAAGTTCAATTACTTCTGAAAAAGATCACCCGTAGTTGTATCTGAACTTGAAATTCTATGCAATTTGAAAGCATTTTATTTGGATTTTTTAAGTTTCTCTAAGGACAGGCATACCTAGATTTCCTCACCAATAAGTACATGCACAATGTCATGATAATCAGTAAACAAGGTGCAGTATTTATTCCAAAGTTTGAAAAAAAATCACAAACACATTTTATTTGAAGAATCCCCAATAACTCCTTCAGACTGACCTTTAACCTCATGTATAGATATGTGTTGCCTCTAAACGTAGCATAGAAAAGCTGGACAAACACCATATTAATAAACGTTTTACATTAATTGTTAGTTCTCCTAAAATTCAAACATTTTAAAAAGTGGAATTCGATTCCTTCTCTACATGGAATGATTGACACAAGATGGATAAAAACTGCCACTGATGAGTTTGCAATGTATATCCTTAACTGTATCTTTATTGTCTCATTTTTTAAAATTTAGCTTTTAATTTGAAAAATTAATTTGATTACATTTAAGTATAAGCTTTAGCATGGATGGTCATCGGCTTCCCAATGGTTTGTGTTGATACAATCATAATAAGTAAAAATATTTCTGATAGAAGTTGTTATTCAGGTTTTCATCAATCAAAATATTATTGCATTGAATTATTATGATTTACGGTACCAAGTTAGGGAAAAGTCTTGTTGCCCAAAATGTACTTAAAATCAATGTTTACAATTTTTATCTACAGAGATTTTCAGCGACAAAATGCTTTAGAAAGAAATGTACTGTCGCAATATTTTAGCTTCTTCTACAGAAATTTTTAACTTATTTCCAATATATAAACATTCGCTTAAGACAAATGAAAGTTTATTTATATTTTTGACTTCAGTGAGCGCCAAACTTACTGATGGCGGAGCGCTTTGTGTGGCGGGAAATTTATCAGTGCTTGCAGCTTGTCTCTTTTTACGTGAAGGCTGAAAAATAAACAAGTCCATTAATTTTATTCAGAAATTTATCATTTGAAATATTTTGGTTTTTTAATAGCATAATGACAGTACTAATTCATTTTTTCAACAGTATATAAAATAGTCAAATGCACTGGCTTTTCCTATACATGTATGCCATCATTACTAGATTTTGAAATAAATTATATGTCATATATGTCACATGTTGTGTACATCAATGGCAATGAAAAAATACTCACTAGGACTTTGTCTTTTTTGTATTTGGCATAGAATCGGTCAGTACAGTCCATATCTGTCCTGTCGCCATCTTTATTGGAAAAGTGCACAAACGGGCACTTGTTGTCTAAGCAGTTCCCCCGGTCAACATCCAACTGCTCACGGATATGCATGGCTTTGAGAAATATAGCTCTGAATAAAACAAGAATACTTATGAATATTTATTTAAAGTGTAAAATTCATATGCATAGTAATTTGAGCTCTGCGATTGTGACAAACAAGAGACCACGTTCCAAATTTCCACAGCCATGACTACGATCCATATCGCAAAGACACTAAACAAAATACAAACCCTACTTCTGTGTCAACAAAATAGTCTTTGAATGACGTCCCTTTCTGGAAGTCTTCAAACGTGGACACTGGTACACCTCTTTCCCATTTTTCAGTCTTTAGATTATACATGGCTGGCCTCACTGTAGATTGACGTGGGATACAAACAGCCAAAGATGCATAATTTGAACTATAACAGAACACAAAATCTAAACAATAAGAAAGAAAGGTTGGCACATAATCTGAAGGACTAGTATGTAAGAATCATCCATAGTTTATATGTCCAGTCAAGGAGACGGTTTACATGTAGTCTGCTGACCACAGCTGGATAAACTTAACAAAGCTTACGCACATAGGAAAATGTAGCATTACATTGAAATATGTCAAAAACGGTAATATTAAAGTCAGCTTTTCTTAACAGTTACTGTGCCATGGTATCAATTCACAAAATAATAAACAGCTGTAAGAGAACTGGATATAGTTAAATACAAGATGCATTAAAATTTTAGTGGATGGCAAGAATTATATAGTGTGTATATGTATCTTCGCTCTCGGTGTAACACAATCAAAATTTCATTTTTAAAGACATTTTATTAAACCAATAAATGCAGTCAAAATGCCAAAAGACTTGCTTTAAAATTTTTCTTTTTTAAATACCGTCGTTTCTTTCTATTTTTGGTTTTTGAACGAAAATAAAACAGCGAATTTACACAATTTATTTGTTTTTTAAAAAAATCCTTTTTTGGTGTTTGGGTATTCTCTCCATTTTTTAGAACTGTATGCTCGCTTCTTTTAGTTATAACACACTCATGTCATGATGAAAAATTCATTAAGACATGACTCAGAAATTACAAATTTATAGAAAACATATTTACAAATGTAAATTATACGAGTTTTTCTACCAAATGACTCATCCAGAAAAATCAATACATAAAATCAAGAGAGTGTTTTACTTTTCTATATCTAAGAAACAAGATATATCAATAGAATGCTAAAATATCAAGTGATGGATCAATGGAATTTTCACTTATTAAGTGCGCCCAGATTCCTGCTGAACCCAAATCAAATGCACCCTGGTTCTTTGAAGTACTCATACATGTACTTTCTACAAATGTTCACAGTCAATCAATATAAAAAAACCTATGTCAATAGGTTCTGACACAACGTAAACATTCGGCAGAATTGTATACTTGATTATCATGCATCACACAATCTGATTGACTACGAAATGGAGTATGCAACTCGGAAAACTTGGATTAAGTACATGTAATAAGTAGATCGACAGTAGGATTTTTTTAATGAAGGAGTGAGGCAGGAGTTTGATAAAAGAATAAAAGAATTGAATGTAATTTAATACATTCCAAACGAAATCATTATTTATTACTTGTAGTTTTGTGTAGGGTATTATAGATAGAAATTTTAATGCCAGACCATCAAATGGTTAAAGTTTATTCTTTTTAATTGTAATAATTTACCTTGACAAGCCAAGGAACTCAAATCTCCACCAGCCAGGAGCTTTATTAGCGTTGGAGCGAACAAGATAACTATGAGACCCTCCTAGTATTGTCAGGAATGGAGCATATGACCTTCTGTCTGCCGTCACTGGGTCGTCGGGGTCATCATCTCGCGTGACTGTAATCTCGTCAGTTACTTTTCCTTCAAAATTGGCTCTAACCTGAAATGGGTAGTTTCAAAATACGCTTCGTTTGGATAAAAGTACATTAGAATAATCCCAAAGGGATAAAGGACAACATGAATGAAAGAAAAATAAAAAAGATATACTAATACGCACTTGGCCATATGCATGTGGACAAATAGCCATTTTCCAGCTATCAATTTCCTCACACTGTTCAGTCATGTGGAACGGTAATGGTTTAACTACGAAACTGCCTTTAGTTCCTGTGGTTGACCCATCAACATCCTTAAAGACGGCTATGTCATCTCCGTCTAACGCCGTAAAACCAAGGTCGGTGGAATTCCCGTCAAACACACGATTTCCTTCAGAGGCCTACAAATTAATTCAATGATAATGTCGAACAATCAAACCCTCAAAAAGCTACGTATACATACATGTAAGAGTCGGAGTTATTTTTTAAAATTGATTATGATTAGGAGGAAAACGTCGTTTTTTGAAATATTTTTGATCAGCTGGCTTGCTACCAAGACTCATAAAATAAATTTATTGAAAGGTCTTTCGTAAATTGTGCTTTGTTTTTCTTAGTAGTACATGTAAACATATAAAAAAATATTTACAGAAGGCTTTAGCCTATAACTTCTAACTAAAAGAAAAAATTATCTTCCTTTGTCCTCCTTTAGGGTGTTGTTCTGAATAGTTTTGTCTTGCACATTAATTGTCTTTTTTTTTTTCGATAGATGAAATTAACATCTTCATTTTTTTAAAACTTATTTTGAATTCTATTGAAACATCCAGGTAGTCCTAGGGAAAGACTGAATCATAGAAGCAGTGGGTAGAGGACAAAATACTGCAAAACAAAAATAAAACAAGTCGGCATGAGCTACTGTAAACCAGCTTTTATTGGCGTGCGATAAATATCTCCGAGTTTCGCGACCTTCTTTAATTCGCGAAATATTTATCGCCGCGAACCATTTATTTTGCTGTGTATTTGTAGAGAATTTTCCTAGGTCGCGAAAATTTGTCGTCCTGGATTGATTTAAAACTGCCGAATCGCGAATAAAAGATGACACGAATAATAGTTGGTTTACTATATCTACCTCATGACTACAAATCGTCATTGCATATTTAACCAAACTGTGTGTCTCCGATTAATTTTTAAGCGATTCCTGATATTAAACATGCCGGTGACTTTTATATAGTAAAACATTAATGTAATAAATCTTTTTCCTAATTAGCCAAAGATTTTTTTTAGAACTATGCAGCCATTGTCCCCCAAGATCGTTACGTAACATAAACATATTTTTTCCCCCCAAATACTAGACCACTTTCAATTATTTATTATTTTTTTTATGCTTGTATTGTATTAAAGTATTTAAGTCAAGGATTCTTTCCGACATGCTAGACATAGAAATAGAACAACATCTAAGCCAGAAGCGGAGGTTCTCTGTTTCAAAAGGAACCAGGATGGTGCAGCCAGAAGCTCCAACAACCATCCTAGCAGAATCTGTTCTGCAATATAATGATTATAAAAGACCAGTTTGTCCATGCTTGTATAGAAACAGAGAAAAGGTTAGGACTCACCCTGAAACACTGACGGGTTAAACGGGATGTTAAACAACAATCAATCAATCAATCAATTGACAGGTTATCTATTCCCACTAAATCTTATTAACAGACAATTATTCAATGATAATCCTTAAGACATTCTAATATCCAAATGCCACAGTTGGTTACATTTTCTTCTTACGTCATTAAATCCCCATTGAAGCCCTTTTGTATATGCCCCATGTGCCGACAGATGCATGTTGTTCCTCTGAAAACCGATGGCCCCGGCGTTATAATCAGCTGTACTGGCATAATTACCAAACCAAGAATCTTCCAAACTGACTGCTCTATCATAGAACACGAAGCCTTGTCGGGGCTGGTTTCTGAAAAAAATATCCGGAAATAATTATTTTCATTTAACTACATCAAGAAAAAAATCATCTTATAGAGTGAATGTAGCTTTTGATAACAAGAGGCATTAAAGGACCTTTGACGGTTACTAGAGTGAAGTTTCTCGGTATATGAGAATCTGATTAAAATCAGATCTTTGTTACGCTCCGAAATCTGCGACCATCAGAATTTCAGAGCGTAACAAAGATCTGATTTTAATCAGATTGCGGTATATGAATAACTCACTTCTAACCGAGATTGGCTCGCTCCGTGATCGGAAGGTCGAGTGTTCGAATCACGGCGGCGACTGACCTAAGTCGATAAAAAATAGGTAGTAACTGTTCCTTCGCCAAGCACTCGGCACTTTAAAGTGAAAGTTGCGGGTTTTTTGGATGAAACCTTAAAACCGAGGCCCCGTGTCGCGGTAGGCGTTGGCACGATAAAGAACCCTCACTGCTCAATGGCCCTGAGTGTCGAGTAAATTTGAATCCCTTCATCGGCATATGGTGATGTCTGACGGTCTCTGTACGAGTATAAAAATTCTTGAACGGGACGTAAAAACATACTTGTCAATCAACCAATCAATCAATCTAATTTTACGATTTAGTGTAGAACTCTGTATTGTCATATTGCAGGAAGTTTCCAAGGAGCAAAGATGTCTAAAGATATAATACATTCATGATATATCAAGTTAGCCCTACCCTGAAACCAAAACCTTGGGGACAGCTAAATGTCTATGTATAAAGTTGATTTTCAAAGGAATTACGTATGTACAATATATCATCTAAACCTCGGGCATGAACTTTAAATCTAAATATATCCAGAAGGCTCACTACTCTTTATAATCATGCAAGCAGTTCGCTTCTCTGATGCTCAAAATGAAAAATTCTCAAATCTTTAACTGTAACGAAAAATCATCCGAGTAACCAGGTACTCGATCGGAAAAGTAAGCGAGTAACCGGTTACTAAAAATCGTCCGATTGGACAACATTAACTACGTAAGTAAATAAATGTATTCTTACGCCATTCTTAGTGGTACAGCCCGGGGATATGTCTTCACCATGCCATTTCCTCTGATAACTGACGGTTCTCCAATATTGATGGATTCCCCCATAAACACACTGTTGGTAACCAAGCAATCGGGTCCATTGCCGCTCCTGTATAGGAGGGGAAACACATTGGTATAGTTCAAATGTGTTGATTTTTAGTTGTTAAAAAATCCTGTATTAACAAAATTCATGTATTAAACCGGTCTTTATTAATTAATAGATATTAGCGGCGATTAGGCATCTGAATAAGACGAGCAGATACACTCAGACATGGTATAACGTTGACTTTCATATTCTTTGAAATATGAAGATAACGAACAGTATTCAAGTTCAAAGTCCATTAAAACAATACAATTCGGGAGCAGAGCAAACGCAGACCTCCAAAAACATCAGAGGTGGGATCAGGTGCCGTGGAGGAGTGAGCACCCCCTGCCCACCAGTCACACCCGCCGTATGCTCCAATTAAATTTTCAAGACTACAAGGGGTGATCAGAAAGTTCGTGTTCAATAACTTAAAGAGTTCAAATTGAGGTGTTTATTCTTGTTTAAAGTAGCCACTCCGGCTTTCATACACATATGCCACCATTTTGCTCACCCTCGTATATCAAATTTTGATGTAATTGTTAAAACAACTTAGGTGGACATACCTTCTCACGGCGAGTGACATCAAACTGTCAGAGAACCTGAAAAGTAAATCATGGTAAATATATAATAAATTAAAACCCTGCATATTTAGATGGTACATCAGAAATTGATGACTAAAATGTAGAAATTAATTCATTGTTTGAGTGATGTTAAGACAATAAAAAATCTATTAGAATTCAATCTGTATTCAGTGGTGCAGCAGTCATACGAGCACCATTAATCAGTTCGCTTTACCTTCCATGCGATATTTTTGGGAACCGCTGTTTAATAACATGTTATTCAATTTTGACACAACAATCTGGATATTCACATTCTGGATAGACTAAAGTCAAAGTATCTTAATACTTTTTAACCTTGCAAGTTTGTAAAAATAAAACTGAATACATACAAACACAAGATGAAAATTTTGCTTTATTTTAAAATTTATTTCAAAAGTTATACTAATTTGAAATTTTGAACTACATGTAATTTCAGTTTTCCAGTTTATTGTTTTAAATTTGGGTCATGGTCAAAATTTCTTTAAATAGAAACGTACGCATCGCTGATCTCGAAAATTCCCCCTGCATAGGATAAGCATATAACAGCAAATATATGAATAGCTAAATAATCCAGATAGATCCTGATAGATCTTACTTGTAGTTAATTCTGCTGTAACTCTATTAAACATTATTTGTTAATTAACCCAACTTAAATTTCAACTTCTGTTATTTGACATATAGTTTAGATATACTGAAGTGTCATATTTGATAATGTACATACACTGTACATATACATGACTGTGTCATATCAACATTTCAAAATCAGCTATGGCCTAACAATTAATATGAAAAACGTCAGTCAGCAGCATTCGAGTTAATGATAGATTGTATTTGCTAAGAAGGTCATTGTATCGACCATAGAACTTATGAAATGATGACTTTAAACGAAACTGTTGATATTTTTGTTTGAGCAACTTGTTTGTCAATAGCTTGCCTTGTTTTAGAAATTGTATATGACAAAAACCACATTCACCACAAAAGAGTCCATAATTGTATTTAAAAAAGTTATTGACTTATCTATTATAAATACTCACGAGGACTGTGTCACGTGAATATTTGAAGCGTCAAACCAACCATTAAACATCTCGTTCTTGTAACCTGAAAGATTGAACACCCATAATCTTGAATTGTAATTACCATAAACATGAAGTCATTACTGTTTTACTGGTCTATTCAATAAGATACTAGTACGGAAAAGGCTTTAGATTCTGACATAACTATGGCAGTAATAGCACAAAAATGTCCCTATCTTACTCCACCCTTGAATACGTAATGCACTGTTATTCTTAATCAGAACAGAATTTCTAAAAGTAAAGACCCAAGGACCATACCACTCGCCTGTTTCTCCTAACCAATCTGACAAATATTTTATAAATGAATACACTTTTCATAACAACTTACTGTTTCAATGGTACATAAATTATCGCATTCAAAAGTTAGAGCAATCTTCCTCTTCAACTGATTATCGCAATCACAACTTAGTGCACAAGTCTTAAAAATGACAGGTTTAAATTCCAATCATATATTATCGGAGAGGCAGCATAAAGGTCGCAAAAATATGACTACCGCTAACACGAGTATTATGACTACCGCTTATACGAGTAAGTTTACATTATTTTATTACATTTTCAACAGTGAAATACTGTGATTTATTCATTGAATAAAAGTGATGTTCTCTCACAGTGTGAAAGGATACCAAAAATGATATTCTCTCACAGTGTGAAAGGATATCAAAGTAAGTAAAAGATAATTTCTGGCCTGCCATAAGATAGAGCTAGTAACTAACCATCTTGATAGAGCTAAAACTGCAAATTTCTTCCCAAATATGTTGCTAAAATCCATGCTATGTAATGTTCAATCACACAACTTCTAAGCTATGACGTTTCAACAGCTCAACTATGACGTCAAGCCTATGACACTGTGTTAAGAAAAGACAGAGGCAAAGGGAAAATCAAAGAAAATGTAATTAACAGAAAATTCAATGTTTTGTAGATGAATATGGAATTTATTTCACTCGTGAGACAGGATTTTTTTTTTACATATTCACTCGTGCTTCGCACTCGTGAAAATATCAAAAAATCCTGTCCCACTCGTGAAATAAATTCCATATTCATCTACAAAACATTGAATAATTATCCTCTATAAATTCCACGATTTCAGCTTTTATAAAATAAAGGCTTGTTGAGCACATTTACATATAATTATTTAATTATATTTAAAATTTTTAGATATATATTATTTTTAAGAGTATTTAATCCTATTGTGGATCCAATTTAACCCCATGGACCACGATTTAAGTTTCATTGTCATAAATATCATTGAGATGTCTACATGTAAGATTTATTGTGGCCTTTCTTTTCTTCAGAGTAAGATTAACATTGACCTTTGACCTTTATTGCGGCCTCTCCTACACGTATACAATTAAAACGCTTGACTCTATGGTTCACTACAGGGTAATGTTTGTATATTATTGCCATTCTGTTTTTAAGAAAATAAAAAAAATCTTACCCGTCAATCTGTTAAAGACTGCAGTCTGAGGAGCGGACTTCTCATCCAGTGGGTCACTCAGGGGGGTATATTTTGTCCCCCATCCAAAGGACGTGTTATTATTTAGGCGTCTATCAAAGAACAGTCCAGCCTAGGACGAGAGTATAATCACACAGATTATAGGACATGTCTCTTAATGAAATGCCAAAGGGTGTTCAATTAACAACGAAATTCCCCTGAATAAAAAAATTACTGACAGTTTCATTAACATTCTGGATTAACAGTTATTTGTATTTTCATACTATTCTCTATGAAAAGCCAATAGAGTAAAAAAAAAAAAATATCAGACTATCCTCCGACAGTCCGACAAAGTTGTAGCCTTTTTTGTGTCTTTCACGTAGGTACTAATTATGAATAACATGGATTATTAATCTTTTTCTGCAAGTGCGTCGCTTGGTTTGCTTGATGAAAAATTGCGTCATGAAGTGTAGGTGTTGGGGCTCGTTTTGAAGAAGAAAAAACGGAAATTTCTTCTCATATATACATATACTTACGGTATTCTTTGTGGAAGAATCTACCCAATGATTTCAATTTGTGCCAAAATGATCCTTAAGCAAAAATGCGAATAAAGGAATAAATCTTTTTATAGGTACGATAAGTCTATGTGAGCAAATGGAAATTCTTGTATAAACGCCTATTAGACTTATCACCTCCCTCCAAAAATAGAATTAAAGACATCAAAAAAGATATTTTATGATTGATGCACTCTAATTACCACACGATTGGAGTGGACGACATTATTGGTGAACTCTTTTATAGGTGTTCGTTTGGCCTCGTCTTTCTGCATTGTTTTAACGACCCCGTATGAGACTCCGATGGGTTCATCAGGAAATACGTACCAGATTCCAGCATACTGAAAATAAATACGAATAGAAAATGATCGCAGCAAACACGCCAAGAGTGAAGACTTGATAACCAGAGGGAACAGGCACTCAGAGAGCACAAAACAACGCAGATATATTTTTAGTATAAAAACTACTTTCCTGATTGTGTGTTAAACTATCCATTTAAATTTTACAGAATTAATAAAAATGCATCTGTGGTTTTTAGTCTCCTTAAAATCTAATTGACTCTTCTTTGCCCAGAGTCATTTATTCCAAATTTCATTAGAGACTTAAAATACTTGGTGAAATTTACAGTTGATATGTCTGTAGGGTGATATATCTAAAATTCTTAAGGACTATAAACAAACACTATCTTTTAATTGAGAACGTACGTCACTTCCGCCTGCTACATTATTTGTCAAAGTTGTTTTGGGATTCGTAATCCAGAAGGTTGACGGCATTCTACAAATAAGTTAAAAGTTCATTTTGATAAACATTTTAAATCCTCTGCTATTTTTGTTAAATTTTATAGATGTTTGAAACTTTGGAATTTAAAAAAAAAAGTTTTTTAAACAGCGTGTTGATACTCTCTCTTTCTGTAAATGAGATGGTCTTCAATACTGTACAGCAGGAAATTAACTCGCGGAGATAATATTCGCTATATTCGCGGAAATAAAAATTCCGCGAATTCAACATACAATGAATAATTCTTCAAAAATTGATAAGGATAAATTGAAATATTACCGATATTTGTGATTAGATTTACGATTAGACTCTATTTACGTTTCCTTGTCAACATAAAAAGCAGTAATTAATATAGCAGAGATGTAGACTGTCTTCCTTATTATGAGGGTGTACGGATCAATCACTAACAAGTAGTTGTTGTTTTTTAAAAGCTTAATTGATAAATAAACATCTAAAACTAACATTTAATTCTGCCACCCTGTAGAGGTGCCATGTAATTATCTATAAAACATGTATTGTTAGAATTCACCCATGCATATCACTCAGTCTTATTATCTTTAATCAAGGCACTTACGTAGTAAAGACAACACTGTTACACATTAATTCAATTTTATTAACAGTTCAACATTTTGACTATCGGTACTGACAACTGATTTAGATTCAGAGGGATTAAAAAGACCTGCAGTAAATACTACTCAGTACTCTACTCAAAAGATACCTATTCATGAACAAACACCTGCCAAAGGGCTTCTTTATATATATATATATATATATATATATATATATATATATATATATATATATATATATATATATATATATATATATATATATATATATATATATATATACATGTTTGCCATTGTTTGGGATACGACTGGAAATCACTTAAATAAAACACTCGCGTATAGACTCATATGTATTTCAAAAATATTTAACAAAAAGAAAGAAAGAAAACAAGAGAAAGAAAGAAGAAAATTTATATGAATGCATAACAGTGTAAATCGTACATTTTGTCTTCCAATCGGGATCAGAACGGTGTTTCAATCTATTTAATCGGGTTCAGAATCGACACAATATGCAAGGAAAATACTTGCAGTGCGGAAAAAGTTTTTGTATAATTTTTCATTTCCGCGAATTCAAACGACCGCGATTTGCTGCAAGTTGAACAAATCGCGATCTTTTCCGACCGCGATTTTAACCTGCTGTACAGTACATCGGCGGGGTGTACAGTTCCAATGCTATAGAAGTATGTTCATAATTCACAGAGTTTGCAATACAAATTGTGCTTGGATTTATACATGATAAACACTATTTATCTGATTGTGAAGTTAAGCTTTTATGATCAATTCAAAACGAACAAGGATGTTTTGAAAAAGAAAAACAAAAAGAACAAGTAAACCGAATGCAAGGTTAGGCTCCTACATGTAACTACATCATTGCATGCACTGATGTGTCAAAACTCTACTGGTAGTTAATGAAAATTTGAAAAGATTGAAATAATAGGTTTCTTGTATGAAGCAAACCATATTTAATATATCTGAAATGGACGATGGTGCATCATATCTACTTGTCCCAATAGTACGAAAGAATTACGTACCCGTCTGTTTTGGTGAGTTTATCTGTTCGGGTATTTCCAGCCCCTAGGTTTCCATTTAATACTGTATTGACTTCTCCGCCTTCCTCCAGGAAATAGCCGTGTCCCACAGCATTAAAGCAGACATTGTTATCCACCTTTAAAACAGTGACAATGAAATATTAGCACAGTTCCACTTTATTTTCATTTGTTAACCACTTCACCACTTTACTTTCATTTGTTCACCACTTCACCACTTTACTTTCATTTTCTTCACCACTTTACTTTCATTTCTTCAACATTTTTAATTTTTTCACTTTCATTTCATTTTCCATTACTTTTCCCCTTTACTTTGTTCATTTCTACAACACTTTATCCATGTACTTTCCTTTCCCAACACCCTTTCCCTTTATTTCATTCAACACTTTTCCCCCTTTACTTTCATTTCCTCAACACTTTTCTTCTTTACTTTCATTGTTTTCCAAATGTATTTTGTCTGTAATGTGCTTCATACTATTTAAGCGTTGAAAGTTTAATATTCTCAGACAAATAATCTGTATACTATAAGTAAATTCATCACAGGTGCCTTTTGTGCAAGCGGGCACGAAGAGATCATATGTGAGGTGAAGAAATTCATCATTGATTAATTCATGTATTCTGTAAGCATAAACAGCGAGGGAGAAAAATGCGACGGACCAGACCAAGATTCGAACCCGGGCCCCTTGAAGCAATAGTCAGGTGTTCTACCAACTGAGCTATCTGGCTTCCGGCGATCGAACCCGTCTGTCCGCCATAATTCATTCATCAAATATTCAGCTTCTAAAATTGTAACATAAAGCTGAGAACTTGAGCTTCTGAATTGAAGAATTCTTTCCACACCAAACTTGCTGATTTAAAGGGGGTTCCCTCTATTAACATTTTTCCTAAATAAATAAGCAATAGGTGTTATTACAAAATAATAAAGGATACTGAACCTTATTTCATCAAGATAAATAAACGTAAGGTAAAATACAGACCTATAGGCCATCTTATTTAATTGCTCACAATCCGTAGAGTGTATTTGTTGTATATATAACAATCATGGTTGAATGATTATTCATACAATGAGTTGGACGTCATTAATTATGTTTCATTTGTTATCAAATAATTAAATGATTTGTAATGACGTCCGTCTTTTAACTGTCGGTCACGACTTCAAATGTCCTTAGGTTACGTAAATGACATTATTCAAGGTTTATCAGATATCTAAAGAAAATTATCGACCGTAAAGGACATATAAGTTAAGACTGATTTATGCCTGAATGGACGATACATTTGGATGATTTCAGTTGGGGTCATACTTCTAATCAGACATGTTTTTTCTGCTTACCTATTTATGCTCATTCTAACACATACTGTCCATTCGCCGTTTTTAAAAATTACATTTTATTTAAATCATTCTGTGTTTTATTTTAAATGTATTTCATTGAATTAATCAAAAGGATTGGAAACAAGTTCGTGCAACTTATTGGTTCCTCTTTTAGAATTGAAAAAAATTCATTAAATTGTAAAATTTACAGGTGAAACTCTGTAAGATACCACAGAAATTAACAGGTTTTATTAATGAATTTATGGACAACAGCAAAAATGTATAATTAAACTGAATAGGCAAATTTACATCACCCAGATATAAAAGATTTGTATCAACAGTGACCAATAAATCATCCATAAACAGGCGATTAAAAAAAAAGATGATTTCGAGCATTTAGATAATTTCTACGAGCAAAAAAAAAAAATATAAATAAATAAATAAAAATAAAAGTAGATAAATAAATGGTATACATCTGGTATACACATGAAAAAACAAAAAAGGACTTTGATTGATAATATTGAGTTTGTATAGATCAGCAGTGAAGTCTCAGTCAGTATGGATTATGTTTTGTGTAGCGTATACCAAATAGAAAGATTGTTAGTGGATATCTGACATTTGTTCTTAAATTTTACAGAATGAATTGATAGAGATGGCTTCTCTTACTTCTCCTTTTAGTACGTCCCACTGCTTTACAACATCTGGTACGAAAGTCCTTTCTAATAATTCTAATCGTCATCTTGAAAAATAAACTCTACATGTATTCTTTATTACGGGTATTTTATAATATCACTCAAATATTTATGAACGCCCCCATTGTGAATTTTAAACATGGTAGTAATTTTTTGCGATATAGCGTCTGGATTTTGAACTTTTCCAACAAATTTCAGAGTACAGTGTTTCTGTAGACACAAAAATTGGAAGACCTATGACAATTCTAGAGGCAACTAGCTGCACTTTTTCAAGCTTTTCAGCATCCTGAATAGAGCAGCCATCCCAGATGAAGCGCATTCAAATACGGGTCTAACAGATGTAGTATGCAATTTGGAAAGGTTTTTCGCATTCATTTTAAACTTAAGTTTTTTCTTCAAATGCCCAAGATTTTTATAAGAACTTTTTACAATACCATTAATATATTCAGGCCATCTAAGGTTTTGTGACATTAATAGACCTAAGTGACCATGGACTAGAACACACTCAAGTCTGTAGCCTTTAGAAAAAAATAATTTAGGCATAACAGAAATATTTTACCTTGTAAAAAACACTTTTGTTTTAGATGAGTTGAATTTTCGAAGCCACCTGTTTGACTATAATTCCAAAATGTGTAAATGTTGGTTTAACTTGTATTCAATTTCTAATATATTGTATGAAGATTTTTAAAGCGAAATGTCATCAGCAAACATTTATCTACACCTCGATAATATATTTACAGCAACATAAGAAATAAAAGTAAAATAAAAGAAATAAAAGTGGCCCCAAGACAGAACCCTGGTGTACACATGCAATTATATCTAGTTTAGATTATAGCAAATCCTGCTAATGTATGCGGATTTTTTTTTTATTTAAGAACAAACGATGGTACTATGTTTCTAAAAGATAATATTTTGAAAAACTACCAATTGGTATTAATGTAGGATGTAAGCTAATCGTACACTGTGCATGACCTAACTATTGTCCTCATATTAAATGACATTTTTTTTTTATTATTAATTAGCTTATCACTATTTTTCTGTGCATTTATATTACAATACACTTACCACAGCCCCATTGGTGCCATGAACTGTTACACAACGTGCGTTGGAGTCCCGGATAACACTACCCCGGATGTAAGAGTTTGTGACGTCACCACACATATGCCAATGGAATGGATAATTTCCTGTGTAGGTAGCAAGATAAATGCATACACATATATCTTATAAAGATACAACAGCACATATACATTCGTATATTTGTATTCTTACCATTTCTTACCATTTAACTATGCATACATGTACATAAATGTTCATGTATAGTTGAAAATTGAATTATTAACTGCAAATATGTTCATGCTGTCAACTGCAGAATCTCATGCAGTTTATGTTCATGTTGTTCACTGATAACGAGTGTGTTATTAACTGTTATTGTTGTTGTTAACTATTAAAGTTCAAGTTGTAAACTGTTTATGTTGTTAGTTGTTAATGTTCATCACTGTTCATGTTACTAATTGTTAAAGTTCATATTGTTAACTGTTTATGTTGTTTACTGTCAACTGAATATTCATGTTGTTACCCATAAATGTTCATGATTTTAACTAGACATGTTCTAGCTGTAAACAGGAAGTCTTCACGTCCTTACCTAGACTATCTAACTGCCCCATGTTGACCAGCTCTACATTCTCCACCTGAGCTTCTTTGAAACCCTTCAAGACCTACAAAATCCAGATAGAACTTCTATATTTAGTTGAAATACTGCAAGAAAAGACCTGGTACTATCTATTTATACAAGGTATCCCGTAAGTACGTCATAATTCTAATTCAATGAATGAGACAGCTATTAATGCAATTTAAAGACAGAGCATTCATCAGAATCGCAGATAATTATTCAGTTTCACGTAAATGTAACGTGATTTTTACTGTAGTGAATATAAACTAACAGCGATTAAATGCTTTGTAGGAATTGAATACGAAGTACGTATATTTATAGGGAAAACTTGTTTTGAAAACAATGACTCCAATCTTTAAAAAAAAGAAAGTTTAAGAGGTCATTCAAGAGCAGATCAACCCTGAATATATAAGAAGCATATTTACTTATTAGTCGAAAGATTTTGAAAGGTCTATATATCTGGATATTTTTGAAGAAAAATATTGGCAGCCAAAAAGAATGAAAAATATGGAAAACTTGTTAACATTTCAGTTTTAGTCTGCTCGAAGGGTATCGTACGGAGAAAATCTCCATAACACTGGTTTGCCAGATTTTAAAAGTGTTTTTCTCTTGATTTTTAATAGCTAAAAACATTTTAAAAAATTCTTAATTTTTTTTTAATTGCATGATCCATCCTTCTTAAATGTGTGACTGTGTATGCTAAAAATACAGTAGAATACATAGCTACCCAAAATGTGGGATATCCATATGAAAAATGTTTGTTTACATGCGACATTTTATTATCATTTTTTAAGGTTCATTGACCCTCTGATAAGAGAGATAACTCTAACTGGTATCATGATCAATTACTATTATTCCCTGATAAAACTGTCATTTTGACAGGCCATTTTTGTCATTTTTACCCCAGCAAGATATGTTGAAAATGTTTGTATTTTAATTATAAATTAGATTTCTTTTGCATAATCAGAAACTTTAAGGAAAGATTTTATATGAGTGAGCAGAAGTTTGAGGAACTTTAATATTTTTGTGTATGAAATTAACAGCAAAATTGCTTTGGGGTACTCAATCGGCAATTTAAAATTGCTTATATCTGATATATATATATATATATATATATATATATATATATATATATATATATATATATATATATATATATATATATATATATATATATATATACAAGGTCATTGTTCACACAATTGAGGCCTCAAAGAAAATATGCGTCAGAGATGTTATAAACGATAATATATTAAGCTTTCATTTATTTATGTTTTTAGTGGTCAATTCAATTTAACGTCCCTGTTATCAGTGAAAATTAATTTAAAACCTTATTTTGTAAAAAGAAATTAATGTCTATTTGACTTGTTAAGAGGCCTTTTTGTAACTTTGGAGAATTCAATTTAAAAGCTTCTACAATTTTAAACGTCGTTGTTTATGTATCTGGTGTACATTTCATAAAGTCATAAAGCGTACCCTCCAATGGTAAAGAAAAAAGTCGAATTTATCTTAAAGCGAAACGGAGAAAAAAAATACAGATTGGGACTTTAAAGGTGCTTGGACACAAATTTGAAGTTAATATTTTCTCAAGTTTTCGGTATAATATCATGACTTTTATGTTGCTATAGCATTTCAAACGGAAATAAAATAAAAAACTTATTTTATCTGGAAATTATTGAAACCACAAATTTCGGGACGCGTTTGATTGATACATCCTAGCACTTTCATAAGGCAAACTTTATCCTTAATACTTAAGAAAAGTTAAATTTTTGTTGTGTATTAATGAAATATATTCAAACTATAATCCAGAAAATTCAGAGTAGAAATGTAAGAAAGCAAAACCAACTCACCAGTATTGTCAGTCCGTGCTCAGTGATGTGTGCAGAGTTTAAGAAATTGAACACACCCGATGAAACGTAAACATTAACAATAACAGAGCTCGTGCCCTGTTTACAAAAACCGTTTACGTTTCACGGGTGTGTTCAATTTGTTACACTCTGCACACATCACTGAGCACGGACTGACAATACTGGTGAGTTGGTTTTTGCTTTCTCACATTTCTACTCTTTATTTTCTGGATATAGTTTAATATTTTTCATTAATGCACAACAAAATTTCTACTTTTCTTAAGTATTAAGGATAAAGTTTACTTTGTGAAAGTGCATAGATGTGTCAATCAAACGCGTCCCGAAATTTGTAGTTTCAATAATTTCCAGATAAAATAAGTTTTTTTTAATCTTATTCTCATGTGAAATGCTACAAAAACATATAGTATAAGTCATGATATTATACCGAAAATTTGAGGAAATAATAACTTCAAATCTGTGTCCAAGCACCTTTAACAAGAAACTTAAGAATTAAATGCTTGAATATTTTTTACTCCCTTATGCTCTCTCTCTCTCTCTTGATAAATAATTAAATACCATTATGTACTTGGAAATGGCATTTAATGAGATCTATGATTTTTTTTAAAAAAAAAAAAATTAAGACTGTTCGTTAAAAAAAATACAATAAAGTTAATTCTTTATTGGCTGGAGTGATATAAAAATTAACAAAATATTAATTAAAACAAGAGGCCCATGGGCCACATCGCTCACCTGAGTAACTTTGGCCATGCTGTTCATTACCAGACTTCCCCCCTTGTAATACCTATTGTGGCCCCGCCTTACCCCCGGGGGTCATGATTTGAACAATTTAGAATCTACACTATCCCAGGATGCTTCCACATAAGTTTAAGTTTTTCTGGTCCAGTGGTTCTTGAGAAGAAGATTTTTCCTATATATTTCAATGTAAAACTTGGATTCCCTATTGTGGCCCCGCCCTACCCCGGGGGTCATGATTTTAACAATTTAGAATCTACACTACCCCAGGATGCTTCCACATAAGTTTAAGTTTTTCTGGTCCAGTGGTTCTTGAGAAGATTTTTAAAGATTTTTCCTATATATTTCAATGTTTCCCTATTGTGGCCCCGCCCTACCCCCGGGGGTCATGATTTTAATAATTAAGAATCTACACTATCCCAGGATGCTTCCACATAAGTTTCAGCTTTTCTGGCTCAGTGGTTCTTGAGAAGAAGATTTTTAAAGTTTTTTCCTATATATTTCAATGTAAAACTTGGATTCCCTATTGTGGCCCCGCCCTACCCCCGGGGGTCATGATTTTAACAGTTTAGAATCTACACTATCCCAGGATGCTTCCACATAAGTTTAAGTTTTTCTGGCCAAGTGGTTCTTGAGAAGAAGATTTTTTAATGACCCCACCCTATTTTTGTCTTTTCTTGATTATCTCCCCTTGTAAGGAGACTTGGCCCTTTATTTTAACAATTTAAACTCCCCTTTACCGAAGGGTACATTGTACCAAGTTTGGTTAAAATTGGCCCAGTGGTTCTTGAGAAGAAGTTGAAAATGTGAAAAGTTTACAGACGGACGGACGGACAGACGGACAGACGGACGGACGACGGACAACGGGTGATCAGAAAAGCTCACTTGAGCTTTCAGCTCAGGTGAGCTAAAAAAGTTATCAATTAATAGTGTGGACTTTCAACAGGATTGCATATACCCTGAGCGAAAATTAAAATTAAAACAGAAGAAGGTGAATCTAAAAAAAATACCTTGATATGTCCACCGAGTGTCTTGCTGTTAGCAGCCGGGGCCCCTCGGATTTTTATATTGCGACTGAGTGAAGCAACTTCTCCTCGCATATCGACGCCATTAACCATTTGTCCAAAGTGAGTGAATCTGGGCTCAACTGTAAGCCAAAGTAATACACTTCCATTTTCAATTATTTCCCCTATGATTCTTTACAAATAGGAATTCGATTCATTTTCTCATGTACTCACATGGATGAAAATTAATATCTCCATGACGTCAAAAATATTGTGTATTTGTTTTTCTCAACTTATAGTAGTTAAGATTTCTGTCCAACCAATACTTTTAGTTCTTTCTAAACTTACGATTGATTCTAGCTTCACTCGAACCGCAGTCAGCACACTGTTTAATAGTGGTCACCTCAGCCTGTTTAGGGTCATAATCGGTGGACAGCAAGACCACTTCATCACCTAGAAATAGATTCCAAAAGCTTTACATTACTAAGTCTATAACAGAATCTCCCAGTTTAATGCTTAATTTGTTTTATTCAAATGAACATCTTAATCTCTACAATGAGTAAAGGATAGTTAAGATAAATCTATAAATTCCTACCATCTTTCCAGGAAGTGACGTCACTAGTCAGTGATAATTTCGGATCAGCAATATCAGCTTGGGCGCTCTTTCCTCGGGCGTAGCAGGCACCACGGCGGATGGTGTGAACCCAGCTTCTGACGGTGAACTTAATGTTGTTTTCATAATGATATAGCTCGGCAGCTCTCTCCAGTTCTACTTTATCGTCTTTCAAAAACATCTCTTGGGAGGAACTGGTGTCGCCTAAACCAAACCAACAGGTAAGTTAAATATGAGACAAAATGTACATTTCAAACATACTGAGAGGTAATTCTTTAATTAAAAAATTCCTTGTGGTCTTTGATCCCTGTATACCAGGTACCTATATCACATTAGACGCTGTTTCTATAGGAAATCGATATCTATACCTTTCTTCATGACAAAAGACCAAGCGTCGTGAAGACGTAGATCCCGTAAACCACTGTTGCCCGTCACTTTTCCGAAGGCGAAGTTTTCAAAGATCTCGTAGAACATGGCGTAGTTGACATTACCTCTGTGAAGGAGGTGACGTATTAAAGCCAGTCCCACAATTTTACCGTCGGGGACAGCTAGAAGATAAACAAATCTGTCCTAAATATGTTTACAAAGAACAAAATAAAGTTCCAAAGTCATGATCAATGCATGGTTTTAACCAGAAAATTATGATTGTGTCTATTAAAATTTCAATAAAGCCAGACAATTTGATTTTGCTTTGAAGAGAGAAATATAAAACATATATCAAGACTTGAGATACAATGAAAATTTATTATAACAAAATCGTATGAGACTGTCTGATACTTTAATACAATGTGTTGGCATTTTATATGTAAATTACAAAATAAGTGACTTATGGATCCGTTATTTTTTTAAATATGAATGATGCTTTAAAATATTCAAAATACCTTTAAGCGTTTGTTCGAACTGTTTGGCGTCTTCGTCAGCTTCGCACTGGTTTCCGGCTTTTGTGATCGTATACCGACCCGCGGCATAGACACCCTTCGCTTCCTCCAGCTGACCGGAAGTGGCGTTCCAGACGTACATTACAATCCCTTGGTAGTGGGCTTTTTTCACACCATCGTCATTCTTGAAATACAAGAGTGCAAAAAATTTAATAACTAAAAAACTGATATATTTTACATGTATACAAGTATGGATCTTGATAAACTTACATATAAATCGGAGATTTCTCCGTCCTTAGCTTTCCTGACGGTCTGGGTCAGTTTGGTCCAAGGTAGTTTGTCACTTCCGTGAAGATGGAGAACTCCGCCACTCTCTACACCGATAAATTTCTCCCCAAAACCAGGAATGGAAACATCACCTTTGTCACCTATACAAGTAGATGATAAATAAAAATTTCCTTTCATACTATAAAAATCATCATCCAGGATTTGTAGACGTGGGTTACGCTTTTTTTTCGACAGGTAATATTTTTCTTCAAGTGCTTATCCTACGCTAACACCATGAATACCGCGGTGCAACCAACCAGCGCTTTTACTATTGAACCACACCATACAATTTTTTGCCAAAATATTTTCAAACTCGTCAATCATATTTCTAAACTTTTTCTAAAATATTTTTAAAATTACTATTTGCCGTAACTTTCACACTTACCGTAAAGAGTAATCTCAACGTTGCTCTTCAGTTCACACGTTTCCGAGCCGATATAAAGCGCACCTCGGACCAGGATGTAGCGAGTCATGACGGTGAGGTCGGCATCCTTAAACACAAGGGTAGCGTCCTTACCAACAGTGATGCTTCTAACGTTGACTGACGTATCAAGGAGGTAGATCCCGTCATCTAACGTTACATCATCTGTAGCAACTGGTACTTTCTATTAAAACAAACAAGGAAAAATTCGTTAGTATGTGTTCAATTCATTAAATAATTATAAGTTCGACCCTAAATTAGTTTTCATCTTCGGAACAAAATGTTTTATTCAAACTATGTATGTCATTCTGGAAGATACATACATTGTATACATACAATACAGTGTGTGTGTGGGGGGGGGGGGGATCTTGCACCCTCTCCCGCTAGAATTAATAGAATCATGATAAATTTTGCTATTTAACTCATATTTATTTATTACATGTATCATAAGTTTCTTCTGCAATTTAACTGATTTTGAAAAAAGTTTGAACCCCTTCCTCAAACTGAAAATCGAGGATCGGCATCTGCTAATTATACTTTACTTGGACAGGAGAGAATTGGTAGGTGTGTCCTCTACCAAATTTAGAATTCGTACATTTTAAATGTATATGTCATAAATATATAGAAGATTGTTGGTTCGATTCCCTATCTATACACTGAAAGGTCAAAAGAAATAGTCCAAAAGGGGGAAAACTTTTGCTGTTTTAAAATAAATTCACGAGCTCTGTTGTGCTGAATATATGGTTGAAAGAATTGAATCTGGCGAGAATGATTTAAAAATTTAATGTCTAAAATTGTTTTTAATTTATAATTACTTCCACATATCGTTAGAGGTCATCGTCTTTGAAATGATCTTTAATAAAATTATCAGTAAAAAGACCTCGATGTTGAAATTAAATCCATGTTTATACCTTGTTTAGGCAATACAATCTATTAACTTACAATTACAGCTGTTTATATACACCCGATATTTAATATAATATAGACTGTTTGAATCCTTGTGGGCGGATGTACGATTAAAAGGTTGTGGTCCTTAATTTTATTTTCAATGGAATGGTTATAAAAATAATTTCCTTAAAAGATTCCATTTATAGCTGGACAAGATAACATACATTACGCATTTAATGGGTAATCAAAGATTTCTTGAAATAAATTTTTTCCTATACAAATAAAACTACATTTCCCAACTGACCAAAAAATAAATAAGACTAGCGATATTGTTAAACGGCCAGGGTGAATTAAATGTCACTAAAATCTAGTTTTTATATTTTTGAATTTCAAAATTCACTTGAACTTTAGCCATTGAGATGAAAAAAAAATGTTTGATAGCCAGGTGTTTTCTTTATTAATCAAAAATGTAAGTGAGGTGTACAAAGAATTCTTTGTGGTTAGATTCCATCAAATAAGGTTTCATTTATCAGATTGAACAGCAGGAAAAAAAAAATTATAACGTGAAATTTTAATCGGAGAGGAATCGTTGCTTATACTTACACAAATGTAATTAAAAGTATTTTAACTTATAAAATACGCTTCAGTACTTCGGAATATTGATGTATCCCCCCAATGTTTTTCCTCCTGACAAAATGTTCATTATTTATATAACAATACATTTCCATTTTTTTGTAGTCTTAACATTTATATGAAAAAAAAATTATCTGAATTTAAATCGTTCTGTTCATTGTTTATATCTTTTCCATAACCTTCACGTAAAAATGCGTAATGGTCAAAACTAGAGATGTTGAACTCCCTGCGCTGAGCAACAGGGGAGGTTATCAAAGCTTGTTAGAAAAGATCGAGAAAGGAAGTTGTATTTTATCAGTTCTTAAAATTTCAAAGCTTTGTCTTTATTCTAAATTTATAGATCCTCAAATATGCGACAGGCATAGTTTCATGAAAGTTGTTTTCCAGATTTCCATACCCTTCAAACTTTGGCCGGTATAGGTTCCGCTTAATAGGCAGATACACAATCTAGGCGTCATAAGAAAACTCAATAGAGTCAATAGAATCAATCGTAAAAGCAAAAATAAGATCTTTCGCGCATACTTCTAGATTGGGTTACCCCTGTGCCTTGACCTATAGAATCGATACCGATAGTCATTCTTAAATAAACATAACGTTTTTGATGCAGAGTATATACTGATACAATGATTAACATTTTCTTATAATTTTTTTTCGGATCACCCCTGCAAATTTATCTAGAATGTAAAGTTGAATTCCTTTAATCAGCTTTTAAAAGAAATGCAATACATCAACATTCGTGTCTACATTTCTTTATACATTGATTAATTGATTGTATGTTGTTTTAAGACCCGTTCGAGAATTTTTCACTCATATAGAGACATCGCCATGTACCGGTGAAGAACTTCAAATTTTGACCTTTACTCGGCACCCACGGTCATTGAGCAGTGAGGGTTCTTTATCGTGCCAACGCCTACCGTGACACGGGGCCTCGGTTTTTAAGGTCTCATCCGAAGGACCCGCAACTTTCACTCCATAGTGCCGAGCGCTTGGTGAAGGAACAGTTACTACCTATTTTTTATCGTCTTAGGTCAGTTGCGGCCGTACATGGCCTTCCGATTACGGATCGAGCGCTCTACCGACTGAGCTTCCGTGACGGCATATTCATTTATACAGTGTTACTTTGTCTGAGCTCGTTTCGCCCTCTTGTTGGAAGAGCATAGGCGTGGCATTTGAGTTCTTTCGAAATCTAAGGGTCCTTTATACAACACACACTAAAGATGTTTAACTCCGTAGTATTTTTATGCAATTGGAGTGATACCCCTTTTGATATAAAATGGAATAAATTAAAATTACTGCTTAGTATTCAATTTGTAATCAATTCAATCATTTTTAATATCTTATTAGACCAAGATTAATTAATTTAACATTTTATTGCCATTTGTCTCCAAAATGTAAGTCAGAAAGAGTTTAATACTTTGTTGCCTAAGAAGATTTTTGCGCAGAAAGGGGTGAGGTTGGGGGGGGGGGGGGTTAATGGCAGGTGGCCTTCGTTGAAAACTAAACAGATAAACTTAATATTTACTCCTTTATACAATGTTATTTTCTCAGCGTCAAGAACAAAATCATTATTGAAAGAAATCAATCTGTTAATATTCTGATATTCATGAAATCATTTCCAAACCAATATATTCCTGTAATGCATAATGATAAACAATGATGAATGAAATTCTTTTGATTTACTTATACGTTTAATATAACAAAAATTTATGCATAACACATTATCAGCTAATTTGAAAAATTATACTCACCCCTGTTGACCAGCTACTCGCGGAAGACCAAGCCTTGTACGCAACATCAGGTTGCTCGTGCGGACAAAAGTTTGGACTAATCTGCGCTGCAGCAATTCCGCAGAACCCAAGTAGAAACAAACACAATTCGCTGACCGCCATGACTAGCTGGCAATGACTTCTTTCATAAGCTTTTTTCCCTGTAAGATGTCCTCTGCGCCTTAGACCCGTAGCTTTATTTCACTAGCAAAAGTTCGTTTCGTTTGAAAGTGAATTCTCGCTTTCACGGAACTTTATACTTTTACGTGTGCTTGTTGACCCGTGAATGGGCGCCGTGAACGAAGGGGTATCGAATCGACACCTTGTCACGCAAGTAACGAAACAGACCTACCCTATAGCATTGTTTTAATAAAGTTGTGACGATAGAAAGTTCATGCAAGGTCCAGATATCAAACACGGAATTCTTACATGAAACACAACTATTTTATTTTTTTAGTAAACATTTTCAACCTTTGTCGTCACCATTTTGTTGTTGTTGTTGTTTAACCATGCAGGTGTTTATAAAATTCTCTGATTTCACTTGTACGTGTTGGAAATAGATGAAAAAAAAGTAATTTCGAAATTTTCTCTTATTTTTGCCAACAAGAGATTTTTTTTCTAATTACATGTTTATGTCAGAAGACAAATTTCGAGATATTAATTATTACAAATGCACAGGAAAACATATTACAGGAATTTTTCTTATCCCTGAAATGAACAATTTGAAATTATAATTTAACTCTCTCTCTCTCTCTCTCTCTCTCTCTCTCTCTCTCTCTCTCAGTTTTTTTAATCTTACAGACAATGATAATTGAAAATTCTATTTCAACCGTTAACTCTTATTTAATCAAACTTATTTCAATAGATCTTTGCCTCCGGCACCTTGCTGTCTCTGACTTGAGATGTTTAGATTTGTTTTTCCGCTTATCAGATTTTGTCAAACTTCCTACACAACATCATACTCTCAAGAATAAAATCTTACATAAGGCGTGTCTAATAGAAGTAGTGTTGAAAAAACACCACCCTGTAAAAAGCTATTTTTAAATTCTGAGATGTTTGAAAATTGCCTAGTAAAGGAATTTGAAAGAAACAGTTTCTGCGTTGTCAATCCTGAAAAACAATCATGTGTTTAATTAAACCCTTTGAATAAATGTAGGAGGTGAATAATGGCACTTTTATCCACGTCTCGTGGCAGATTTAAGGTTCATAAACCCTCTGCTCACTCTTTAACTCATGATTTTCCAAAAGAAATGTATTTGTTAAGTAAAATACAAACAATTGTAGCATAGCTTGCGGGGCAAAATTGGACTAAAAAGACACTTCAATTTGAAAAATTTATAAAGGAATAATAGACATCTACGTCATTAAGAGTTACCTCTCTCACAACAGTACCAGTGAACCTTAACACTTAAAATTTTTAATAAACATTTTACAATATTCCAACATTTTAAACCCATTCTGTTACAACACATGAAAATTTGAGAAATAGCATTAGCGAGTCTGTTATCGGCATTGAGGATATATTATTGGGAGGACACAAAGTTCAGGTAGTGATCAATATGCCCAGTCATATTCATTTAAAACCATGCACCTCCCCCTAAAAAATATCCGCTTCATAAAAAATTGTCCAAATTTGAAAACAGATTTCTGGACGGGGTGTCTCTTTTCTTTATCTGACTCTCCTTACCATTTAAATTAAGGGTTCCCATTGGTCCGTGTTTTGTAGGAGGGGGTTAGGCCATTTTCGGTTACTTTACTATATAAAGGAGATGGGCGAACAAGACCAGGCCCAGAATCATGAAACAGACTTAGACTTAAGTCAAATTTTCAATCGGCTGCAAAATGTTTATTAATTATTGAATTAACCTCTAAATTTGCAGATAACAACACTTTTGTGAGGCAATATTGAGAAATATTTTAAATTTTGCTCTGCTTGACTTTTACATAATTTTAATACAACATAAAAATTTTGACTTAAGCTTAAGATGTTTCATGATCCTGGGGCCTGCAGAATGCCTATAGCTTCAGATATATCAAAATTACATTCAATTTGTGAATTAAGTATTTTGAGTAAAGTTCTCATTATTGAAATCTATGAAATTATGATAAACAAAACTTTTCTGAGGAAAATTTTCCCGGAAAAAATTATTCTTTTATAAAAAAAATAATATGGTATTCGTGAGTTTCGAACCTTGGCAATTTTTTTAGCCTAATACGTTAACAATTAGGTTGCACAACTCTTAATGAATAGTGGAATTTAAATCATGTTTGTGATATGACCTTTGAATAAACGGAAAGATGCAAATATGGTGTCATAAAAGTGTATTCATAAGTATAGTGGGTCTTTGCTCCATTTCTTGTTCACTAAAACTGTATATTTTTACGCAAATTTTGAGAATACACTTTCACGAAAATGAAGCGAAGACTCACTCATATCGAAAAATTGTTAGAATATGAGAAAATGATCCTTTTTACCCTCTTTAGTGTGTGTATGCTATTTCATAGGCAAATAATTTCCATCTTTGTGAGATTTTTGCAAATTGTGGAGATTTAACATAACTTCCACAAGGTATACTTTAATGTTAGATGAAATATAAAAAAAATGGTTATAATTGAGATTTAATTTTTCACCTTCATGTTTGTCGCCCTATAAGCATTTCGCTCCCCTTCTTCACACATCTTCTTTAATAACTCTGAAAATCCCCCAAGTGGTCCGAACCTACTAGACCCATGCATGAAAACACAGGCGCCGTAGCAACGGTTTCAAAAGCGGGGGTGGGGGTGGGGGCTACCAAAAAAAAAAGAAAGAAAAAACACCTTATTTACTGTCCAAATCCTGGAATTTACCAGTGTTCGACCTTACTATACTCAGAAAAAGAGGACCCCCCCCCCCCTGTTCTACTGGTCTGAAACAATTATAGAGGTATTACATGTAGCCTTGTTAGTAACATGGGTATATTATTTACTTTAATATTGAATAATAGGTTATCAAAATTGTTAAAATGTAATGGTGTTATTATGGATGCTCCTACGGATAATCCTATAATTGCGATATACCTGTTATGGCGTTTCCGCACTTTGTTCTTTGATTACAGATATTTTATGCGAAAGTAAAAGACTACATTGTGTATTTTTATTTTGATTCAACTGACGGATATAGACTTTTGTTAAAGTTACATAAAGTAGGCAGGTAACCTGTTCAAGGTAAATTTCTAAATATATATATAAAGTCTCTGTATCCTGATGTGCAATCATGCATTGTTGTTAATAGAGTTAAATGAGTAAGTGATAGGTAATAAATAAGGGATTTCTTTTGTAACTATATGTCTTCCTTATAGAAAGAGAAGTATCATTCACCTTTTTTAAAATCTCTATGTCAATGACTTTGAAATGCCTGTATGTTTTTTTTAATCTGTCTGTATATTATTTCATATTATCTAATGTCAGTACATTTGGTTTTGTTAATGTTTGGGATGATCTGGTCCTTTTTCTATAACAGTTGAAGGTCTACAAATACTGTGTTATATGACAAGGCCTGGCATTCATGTATAAATTTGGGTAAATCCACATGTAAGTTTTAGAATGAAGATCAGTACCAAAATCAAGGGAAAATGGTTCCTTGGGAATGACGTGTCCTTATTATTTTTTAATTATAATAATGCATTAGCAAAAGCTGAAAACAATTGCATGTGCCTGTTTCGATTTGGAGATGATTTGTTATTCTAATATGTTGTTGAACTGTCCCATTTTTTCCCCAAACATAACCTTTAACTGTTGAAAATGTTTACTGAAAGGCGGCCCCCCTTTTCTTGCAGTAAAGTTAAATCGTCCTATGGGAATTTAAATCGTCATATTGGAATGTATTAATAAAATTTGTTTGTGGAGAAAAAATTTGGAATCTTATCCTCCCTCAAAACTTAACAATTAATGTTTGGGGTTTTATTTTATTTTTAAACATATTTTTGAGCACATAATTTTACAAAACTTCATGGTGTTTGGCTTATAATAATATTTTTGGTTCGGAAATATTTCAAAGCATTACATTCTAAGATATAATAATATTCATCTCCTGTCTGTTTTCAATCACATATATTATAAAGTCATTCATTTCTGTGTGTACAATTCCCTCTTCCTATTTCGATTGGCAGATGGGGACTTGTTGTTTTAAATACAAGAGTTTTCCCTAGCTAATGATCATAATAACAGCGACAAATCACATTCACATTCTATTATTCTATAATTTCTCTCACTTAGATTTTTTTGGTAAGAGCGTCTGATCTAAAGTAAGGAATTAATCCTTACGTCGCGGGTTCGAATCCCACTGTGGAACGTGGAGACCGGTCCATCGGATGAGACCGTATAAAACGATGTCCCGTGTCGCAGTAGGTCCTGGCATGAAAATGACCCCTCACTGCTCAATGGCCCTAAGTGCCGAGTATAGGTAAAAATTTGCAGCTCTCCACCGGCGAGTGGTGGCGTCTCCATATGAGTGAAAAATTCTCGAGAGAGACGTTAAACAACACACAAAGAAAGAAAGAAAAACTTTTGAAGATTCATGAACTTCACTATTCCACTTTTGAATATATTTTAACTTTTTTTTTACTTTTGCAGTTATCAATTTTACATTATATAAAGCTTGCTCATACCATACATTTGATAAAACACGGTTGTCCAAAATATTTTGTACAAACGAAATGCAAAAGTTTGCGACTTCACCTTTATCATATATTGTTTACGTAGATATAAACATACAATTCTAGACAACTTATTTACTTTTCTAAACAAGTTTTGCTCAGTAATTTAATACTCTAGAATATATATTATTATGATAAGGGAACCTCCCGGTTTCATCATAAACTTGGGGTACTGCCTTTTAAATTCAAGATATGTTTAAGAAGGCATAATTGTACTCCTTCAGTAATATCAAAATTTTCGAAACCCCATGTATCACAACCATATAACAATACAGGTAAAACAATTCCAGTTACACATTCCAAGGGTAGATTAAATTGTGTAATCCCACGGATCACACCATATATTGCTTGTTGTGCTTGTTCAAGTAAATGTTTTCTTGCTTTACATAGTGAGTCTAAACTTGAAAATACAATCCCCAAATAATTAAATTCCCTGACGATTCTAACCATACCAATATACGCAAATTTTAAGTATTTTGG